GCTGAGACTCCCATTGAGTCCCACTTGATTGAAGCATGGTGTTCTGTCACCCTGAGTACAGATTTGATGGATTAAGAAGCAAGTTAGGGTTTGTCATTGACGATACAGGGCAGGAGTTTTCAGTGGATCACAGCCCAGCAGGCTAAAAACTTTGAGCTATGGAGTGGTATCCTGTGATTTACAGTATCTGTCATCATGGTCTTTCTTGTGTTCTTCATGCTGGGTCTTGGTCCCACTCGCATCCCAGCCTGGGGTTTTAGAAGCCTGAACCCAAGCTGTGGGTTCAGGAAGACCACCTGAGGACCCACACACCAACAGAACTAGAGCTGCTCCTCAGGTAGTGGTCTAAGTGGGGTTTGGCATGAGTCAGTCTTTGAGTGAAAAGACTGGTAAAAGCTAGTGGTATGTTAGAATATTATTTTAGGTTTGAGGGTGTTTGTATACAGTCCCACAGCAGGCTTGTTTTGCAAACTGGAAAAGTGCCCTATACATTTCTGCAGGTCACTAATTCATATTGCTTCAACTGTATTGTGCAGATACAAACTAGCATAAATACCCCAACCCAAATTGCAGTTTTCTTCATGTTATGGGTGCATACAGTGCTAAATCCAACAGTTCATCAAGCTCAGGTCCTGTTAAATAAAAATTAATCATTTCTTTGCCTCATACACACGAGACTCAGTTGAAGCATGGCAAATTACTGTTCAGAAATTACTTCTTTCAAATAAATATGATGTTTTTTTTAAAAAAAAAACTTGAGGGAGGCTCAAGAATGCTGCTACTTTCCACAATATCCAATTTGGGGATCAAATTTGTGTCAAAATGCCCCTTTTCAGTGTTGACACTTCATGCTTCTTAAATAAAAGGCAAGAAGTTTCAACACAAAAATAGCCACTAAAAAAAATGTTTAAAAGTGAATTTCATGGAAACCCTCAATCATATGAAATGAATCAGTCATGGTTTAGTGAAAACAATGTTTTTCTATGGAAACATAATTCACCACTTTTTTTTCCCTTTCTCTTTTTTTTTTTTTTTCCAACTAACTACTTAGAACAAATAGAGGCATCTTCATTCACGTTCTCCAGGTACTGAGTGAGTTTTCTAATCTGGATAAACTTTTATTTGTGGTGTAAGACAAAATTGTAGCCTTCCATCCACAATCTCATAGACTGTGCTAATATTTTATGACTGATTTTCCTCATAAAGTACCCATTTAGACACGAATGGATTCCATACCTGTACAAAGGATTCTGTATTTGATAAGAAGCAAGCAATCCTATGCTTGAATTGACGTCAAGAGTAAAGGGAACCTCTAAGGAAAGGATGCCTCAGATGACTATCTTATGGAAAAGATTGTTCACATATATAAATGGACTCTCATTTCACCATCTTCTGCTCCAGTGGGCTTTGCACAGCAGTGACATTAGCCAGAACACAAATCCTATGACAAAATAGGGAAGGTGAACGTAGGAATGACAAAATATTTCATATATCTGTTACTAACCTAGATAAAAACCAGACAGACTTCTTTCCCTGTCACCCTCCACACTGGATACTCTAGAGAAATGTGTTGTTCTGAATGCTTCCCATATGCGTTTTTGTTTAAAGAAAAAAACAACATGTATTATTTATTCTTTTTAAACAAAGGGCATATTTTCACTTACAAAACTTGAACTGAAAAAGTTTACTGGGACAGAGTACAGTATTTATTAGTAAGTTGCTATAATCATTCTGTTTCAGACATTAATAAGCTTAGTTGGTTGCTATTTAATGTAAAAATAATTACTCCAAAATGACCTTACTTTGTCACCCTAAAGAGAATAAAAGTAATAAAACTTTCTGCATTAAAGACTCTTTCACACTAATTTCTATAACCTGGTTATATAATATCCTAATGTAAATGTTTAAAAGGGACAACTAAATTGTCATTGCCAGGGAAAATTTCTTAAACTCTGTTAATCTTTTACTACTACTGTAAAAGAGAAATGTATTGCCACTGTAAAAGGAAAATATTAGTTATAACTATCAAATATTGGGTACACTTAAATGTCTTTAATGATGCAATCTGTATTGTCTATGCTTCCAGCTTTCTAGGTACACCTACTTTTTTCATTGGTTTATGGCACTTACAAAGGGCAAAAGACTGGTCCAAATGAGAAAAGCGGTACGTTTCTTGACTTATGTTTCTTGATTTATATACAGTGTGTATTTAGCTTAAGTCTTGTCCCTTCCATTTATATGCTATAGAAACTGATTTATTTTTTTCTTTTGCTTTCATTCTCTGAAACAACATTAGGAAGAAAAATCGTCATTCTGAGAAATCATCTAGGTCCCAATTCTGCAAAATTAATACTTGAAGGCTAGGCATTTTGTTAAACTGGGAGAAGACTGAGAATTAAGTAATTTTGGTAAAAGGAGCTATGAAGTTGGCCTGCTTCTAGGGCTGGGAACAAGATGAGAAAATTATCCAGAGTGTTCAGAAAACATGGAACATTTCTTACTGTGTAGCCCGTTGACTAATAGAAGTTGCAACAGGTTGGACAAATCATTGAACACATACACATTTTTTAAATGTAATAGTCTTCTACTTACAACTTTATAAAAGTTCTAAATAAATTTGTTCAGCAAGAGCTGGAACTAGAACAAAAGTTGGTCAATGAGAAGCAGAATATAAGTTGTGCTTTCAGTAAGAACAGAATTAAAATTGAAACTAAATTGTTGCACATGGAATAGGATAAAAGCTAGAATTAATTAATTACTGTGGAACTAAGTAAATGCTGGTACTGTACTGTGACCCCACAGGTCTATCCATATGGATTCCTTTTTTAGTATCATGGCTGTGCTTGGATCCAGCTAGAAGGGCCAGGATTTATCTAAGTTTAAATACACTGTGGATATATGGGAGATACAGGAACCCAAGGTGAATTTGGCAGGCTTTTAACTGTGTTCCAGTTAGGGATCTGGACTCTAACTGGCATTACAAGAACTCAGTGCTGCTTATAGCCAAGTGGTGTAATGGCCAGAAAATTGAAATGAACAATAAATGCGATGACACAGAAATATATACGAAGATGAAATACCTCACATTTCAGTCATTGTAGTCATTAAATGACTCTATGTTGTAGAATTCTTTGGATACCTAAAAAAATGCCTATGGCACTTGTGTTTTGATAAGAGTATAAGGCTACTTATTACATAAATAAGTGTCTAGTCCAAATTGGCCTCCTTACACACCCTCCCACTTTAAATGAGCTGTCATTTCAAACCATGGACATGGCAAAATATTTGACTGACTAGATTTGCATTGGCTACGAAGGCCATGGTGATGGAATTAGATGCTTTTCACAAAATGCTGCTACTAACCATACTGTGGCCATGTAACCAAGTGCTGAGTATTCTCAGGGTTTGCCTCTTGCCTCATTGTTTCCAGTCAGATTGAAAGTTGCCCAAAAGATCACACCAAGGGGAAAAGGTTTGATTCCTATCTACCTATTGAGAAGATGCAAGAGACAAAGCTGAAGCTATTCAGAGATAGCAACAGCAAAGGATTTGGCCTCACTGTTTTGAGAAAGCAATGGTATAAATAAAGCAGGAACAATCTTAGGAGAAAATTCAATAAAGGGGCAGGGGAAGAAAAGAAGACAGACACAATGTGAGGTCATGAGGTTTCTTGTCAACTCAAGGCAGTGGTGAAATCACCACTGTGTGCATCTGCTTCCAAATATGGCTGTGTTGCAAAAGAAAAAACACCAGTACAGTTTGATAACATAGTGATCTTTAATCTATAAAGAAGATTAAATTCAAAGTTTAACAGTATAAAAGAATAACAAATACTTTTTAAAACAAAAATACAAGATAACACATAGCTGCATCTTGGTTCCTCTTGCTGCCAAAGCTTAGAGTACACAATTTCTGGGGTAGTATTCCACTGCATACAGTGCTTCCTATTGCTTAGCATATGTTGAAATTTAAATGAAACATTTTTATTTGAAAAAAAAAGTCTTTTCCAGGTATAAGCTCAATCCAGGTTGCTATTATGATTAGCTTGCCACATGTCAGATCCCATGTTATTTAAACAAACCAGAATGAAATCACTGTTTTTTGCAAAATTCCTGCCTTGTCATGTCAGCTCTTAGATGCCAGCAGTCCATCTACCACTGCGTTGATCAACTCAGCTGACTGTAACTCACAGTTGTTCAAGAACTGAAACTGTTTTACTTGGGCGCCCTGCTCTAAATGTGCATCCAAAAGTTCTTATTCTGCTCAGGCACACACACAAAAAAGCACAGGGGAAAAAATGGGAGAGAAGATATGAAAAATTGTGAGAAATTCTTTCTGACCACAAGGAAAAAGTCTCAGGTAGGGGCGATGTGAGTAGCCCCTCCTGATGGCAACTGTTCATAATTTGTTCAGCTTTACCTCTAGTGGACCCCAAGGCCAACCAAGGAGTTGATAAGAGCAGCCAGGTGTAGGGGAAGAGAAGTTTTAACAATCTCTTTAGCCTTCCCTGTCTCTTTATCGTTAGATTTACAATTCTGACCCATATAAACTCTGCTCCTGCTTTGCACTCCTGACAGAAATGTGCTTTTAGGCCTAGGCTGAACCAGACTGGAGTGATGTTACAGTTCAACTCACTCCTCTTTGGTTTGCTGTATTAATAACAGAAGTGAAAACAAACGAGAAAAACTCCTACCAAAACTTACAATGGAAGGCACCTCAAAAATAGATAGAAGGATACATTTTTCTACAAGTATTCCAATTATAGGTGAACTCTTTTGAATCCATTAGTGGTTGCATTCTCATTGCATGATCTTTGTAAAGCACAATACCAACAATAAAACCAAAATGAAACAAAACATTGCCTCCAGTGAAAAATCTGTTTAGTTAAACACTGCAAAATGAAGTAGAGAGCAAGTTACACGCTTCCCTCAGTCCTGCAAACCTGAAACACACAACATTGCTTGGACAAAATTGAGACTACAGTAGACTTCTCAGCATAACTCTACTTAAATGACAGTATTGATTAAGAAAAACAAGGCATACTATTGAAACCAAAATACACAGAATCAGGTTTCTAGGCTACTGTTTCCAAAAAAAAGCTATTTTTCTTTAAAATGGTTTAAATGCAAACTTTTACATCTCCCAAAACGTTTTACATATTTCAGACAACAAAAGAATACACATACATTGTATGTGATAATTTTTCAAAACTAGCCATTACATTTTCACAGATTAAAAAAAAAAAAAGTCTGTTTAAATATTTCATTTCTACAAAGTGAATTTACATTTTTAAGTACAAAGTGCAAATACTACAGTTGTTTTCATTGCCTTTTGGTGAGGAAACCTCCCACATGTCAAAGAGATCTGCCTTTGATCAGTAAGCTGTTCACCCTTGCTTCTTAGAAACTTGCTGAAAGAAAGTTGGAAAAATTTACATTATTAATGATGTTTTCAAGTGCTCAAGTACAAACATTTATCTCTAGCAGTGTTTACATGCCACTATCAGAACAACAGTTCTGCATAAATATTCACGAGGAATAAGAAAAATCCCTGCCCTGTAGTCTTTCATGGCATCTACAAACAAGGGTATGAGCAACATCTTTACTATTTCTTACTTATGGCCTCTTTAAATTTATACTTTAGACTTCTTCTAAAGCTACTACAGCTGAGACTCAGTTAGCATATTAGTATATGTCTCTATACCTGCTTTCTTTCAGTAGATTTTCTGTACGTGTACACATACAGATGTGCACAAAGGGAAAAAATATTCAGGAATACATGCCTAGGCACACATAAACATATATATAAACAAACAGCTGAAATAAACACATAGAAAATGAACTCCTGAGTGCCCTTTCATGAGTCATGGAATCTGATCGCTCCTTTTTAGATGGGTGGTTTCCTTTTGAGCAGCTCCAACCCAGCCCAGTTGCTTTTCAATACCTTCCTTTCAAGTGAAAACTTCTGTGATGAAAGCATCTTCTGCACTTGCAGCCTTGGAATATTTGTATATGAAACTGCCAACAGATGGTTTGCTGAGTCAATGATGCCTTAATTTAAGGCTATCATTTGTCAGCAATAGGTTTTAAAATAATTGGTGCCAAGTCAGCAAAATTATTGGACAAAATTAAAACCCCTAGATGCTCTATGACACTTTTATTGCAGATTCTGCAAGTCAGGATCAGTTTACAAGAAAGGGGAGAGGGCTTGTCATGCTTCAAGTGCAATGCACGTGTGCCAGTAATTGCCATTATATAATTAAAATAACCCCTTTGAATACTTTTGAGTTCCAACAGGATAATTGTTTTCAGGCTGCCTTGTTTAAAGCAGAAGTGACTTGTGGGGTGAACTTGAAAAGTTAAGACCACAAACATTTGTTTAAACAAACAGAAACTTATCACATCCCACTAGCTGTGAGAATATTTTATATTCCATCAAAGGTATGTAGGAGGTCTCTGGTAGAACCCACAACAAATGTTGAGCTTGCCTTAGGAAGTGTGAACGTAACATCAAACAAATCAGAGATAAAACAAGTAACAAACTAACTAGCAAGAAAGAGATGAAGATTTCTCTTGGCCTATGGGGAGGTTTACCCTGGGTTCAGTTTTTAACAAATCAATCTAGCTTTCCGACAGATGGGAAGACACTGACCACAACTACGATTTGGGGATATTTTTAGCCAAATTCCTATTTTCCCAGCTCTAGGGCTACCTGAGCTTTCTTATAATACGTTTCTATGAATGTTTTTTTAAAAAAATTCATCATTTACTGATGCTTTTGTGGACATTAATCATTTAATTGCTCTAAAGAATATGAAACTAAGGCAAGAATGTTATGAAGATGATTCTTTTACTAGACCATTCAAAAAACTGTTAGACTCAAAAGTCCTTCTTCAGACTCATGAAAAACTGCTAACAAGTTGTGCCCATGTTGCCCAGAAAATGGAATCTTTAGGATTAATTGTTATATAAATAGACACACACAAACCCCTTTTTAACATTTTTTCCTGAAATTCTACTTCAGTTCTTCCTTTTCAATGTGTACTTTTCCTTGATTTAAATCTCTGATTTAGTGCCTTCTGCGGCTCTGAATGCCCAGAATAGCTAAAACTCCATGAATAACATACATTGGTGTTACTTGGAAAAACAAAACCAAGACTGCAGAAAATCAATGCGGAAACAAATAACAGATTATGTTATCAGGGCTTTTTACTTATTATTTGTGACAATCATTCTTCAAACCTAACCAATTTTAATTTTAACATACACCTGCAGACTGATGCAAATCCTAGTTCTCCAGCATCATTTTGTTCAGCCAGCAGAGGCATTTGAAAGTGACAGCTCCTTTTTCAACACTAAGGTTTTAAAAGGTGTTTAAAGCCACCATACAATAATTCAATGGTGTTTGTGAAATGTACAGATTTTTACTGGGTATGAGAAATGCGCAGCTCTGTTTAAAAAGAGCAATTTCAAACAATGTTGTTTGTGTCTATAGTGTGACATACTGGAATGTTAACAGAATTCAGTTAAAGTAAAAGATAAATGAAGATAAAGCTGTGCATATTTTAAAGTGTATGGGAATGCTGTCATTCAGGAATGCAGAAGACCCATACAAGGGTTCAGTTACAATCATCTAATTATCACTAACATATATGTCAGTTTATACTTTACTAGGAACAACCACACGGAGCCTTAATCCACTTTACATTTCTCCACATTTACTCCACACCTGTAGCTGACTGTTTAAGCTTTCCTTAGAACTTAAGTCAAATTTGTTAATTGGGTTGCTGCTCAACGTTTTCCTGGCAAGTTTGCAGAATGGTAAAGGAATATAGTTTGAAGCTGTAATAACTGCTAAAATCCCAAGAAGTTCAACTGGGCAAGGCTGGAATGGAGATCTTGCTCTTCTCAGTACCCACCTGCCTGCTGGATGAAGTGCTCTCTGTGTTGGTTTTAGGGGCCGCTAAAGGAGGGAAGAGAAAATGTTAAAATATGAAGTTATATGTAGCATCCTAAAGAAATGAAGGCCTCATCCCAAAAAGGTGGTTTTTAGAGCAAGGTGACTGCACAGATTTTAAAAAATGTGATAAAATATTTCAGATATTTCAATGAAACATTGACTTTTTTCTTCCTTCAATACATGTGTTGCTCCTATCATGGAATTAAATTAAAGGTGAATGACAACATCTCTTGCCAGTTAGTATGTTACATTTGCTTAGGACATATTGCCTCTAGGCAGTGTCAAGCATTTCAAACTTACTAAATCTTTAGCAGTAAACATAGCCTGTTATCCCTGTTGAGAAAGAAACATAAACAAGCAGAGTCCGGAAAGTATTCACTTTGCTTAAATGTATTGCACAGGAACAGCTTTAGGAGACAAAGACTTTGTTCACGTTTAATCTGTAAAACAAAAAGATTATCATTGCCTTTTAAGTTTCTCAGTGGGAAAATCCAAGACAGTGCTCTAAATAGGGAAGAAAAAAAAAATAGCTACACAAATCTGCTGGCCCATTCAACTTGACAAACAAATCTGAGAGGTTAGTAAGAAACTCACTCTATTGGTTTTCTATGACAGTTTGCTAGTCAATCAAGCTGCACTGGGACAAAACATATGAAACTGGACCCTGAAAAATACTGCAGCAACTATTTTTCCCCAAGAAAGTGCTTTTTGTAGCAATCTGGTTTTTATATTGCTTCAGATGGTTCTCACCAGTCACCTAGGACTCACACAGAATGGTGCAGAGCCACTCTCCTTATCTCAGCTCTCACACATCAGGTGACAGGGTCTCACCTCTTCCTCAAAATATAACTCTAGCTGTAGTGAAGTGGCAATTGATTTCTTTTCTACAAGTGAAAGGAAAGGAATCAGAAAGCAAATTTTGATTATCAAGCAGGAGAAACGAAACAGAATGTTAATATTCCAACAAAAGCAATTTTTACTGTCTTGTCTTTAGAAGTCTGTATTTCTAGGAAAGCAACCAAATGATTTAATTTAGAATTTTTTTGCGACTGCAAAAGTTCTGAAGCACTTTTCCCTTCCAAACCTGAATGTTCTAATTGTTCACTATGAAGAAGCTTTGTTAAAAATCTCCAGTTATGATTAATATAATTTTAAGTTTAGATAACTCACTGTGTGATCTTCCTATAATTTCATGAATCTTACAACTTACTTTTCGAAACCAGGCAGTTTTTCCTATCTTTGGGTTTGTCTCACAGGAATGGGCACAGGAAAAACTGTTTTGCTTTGAGTCTTTTTATAGCTTTCCTTTATGTCATGGGACAATGATTTTGGACCCAGATTTCATCTACAATAAGATATCAAGAAGTGCCAGCTGCATCAGGACAGAAGTGTCTTGGCATGGATGTTACTGATGAAGTGACCATAATGGCCTCCACTTTAAAACACTAGTCTGCCAAACAGCGTAAATGAAAAAGATGTTTTGTTTCAGTATTCCACATTTATAGCACAAAGGTAACAGCCATCCACTTTCATATGCATCTTTTTACCTCCGTTATCTAAGTGAATATTGCAAGGTATTGCTATTATGTATTATTATATTATTGGCATTATATTAAAAAAACCCAAACCAAAACAAAACCCAAACCAAACCAAACCAAACCAAACAAACGAAAAAGAAATCCTGGGTTTGATATATTTGTTTTGAGAGATCTGTTTCTGTGAGCCATAGACAATTTACTTTATTAGTACAACATCGAGCTATTCCATTTTATTTCTGACTGCATTTCCCAGTTTCCCAGTGGACTTGCTTTTCATTTCCTATGACATCTTTATTTTATTGCCTTGGCTTCATTTTAAGGTCTCGGATAAACAAAACAATTTGCCTGGGTTCATTTCCTACAACTTTGTACAGTAAGGGAATGTAGTCTTGTTGTCTATAATGGTTTTTTTTTTTTAATTCTTCCTCAATTTCAGGAATTACGTGGTTGAACTCTGCAGGGACCATTACAGATTGTAGTTAGTTGTTCCCCTTTCTACCAGTTTGGCAGCAAAGTCAGGTGACTGTGTACTAGCAGTTGTTCCACCTGTTTGGCAGATGACCACATTCCTCACTATATTTCTAAACCACATTTGAGAAATGAGAAGTCATTAGAAAGCTCAACAATGTGCTTCCTTCCTAGCAGGAATCCAAAAAGCACAGGTGGGATACTTCCACTAATTCAGGACACAGCATCATAATAACATTAAATTGGCATTTTGACAACTGTTGTTGTTAATGTTATCATATCCTCTTGGTTTTCCTACTGTAATACATTTAATGTACATAATCAAGTGGAATTTTTTTGATTCTCCTGGAGCAAAGCAATGACTTGCCTGCACAGAAGGAGTTTTCCTGCCCTGTGCCCTAAGGAACAGCTGCATTAGCTGCAGACAGGTTTATTCTTTTGTTTTATATACTTCTGGAATAAACAAATATTGGACTTCATCAGCTTTGAAGGATCTAGTGAAAAAGATAGTTTGAAAAAGTTCTTACTATGGCATTTCTTTGTTTTTGCTTTACCTTCTTCTTTTGTTACTCCCAAGCAGCCCATTAATTCTTGAACTGACAAGGACTTATCATTGTTCACATCACAGTATTCCACAAACTTCTTCACACATTTTTTTGGTTTTGATTTCTTCCTTAGGAATCTCTTAAATGGCTTGATTTCTTTCTTGCCAATGTCACCACTGGAATTTTTATCTAGCTGTTTGAAATACCAATGGACCACTCTCTCTTCCAGAGTATGATTTGGATCAGGCTCTGAAACCCTGAAACAGAAAAGGGTAAGACTTTACTCTTAATTCTGATACATAAACCTCAGTTTATACCTTTATTTCAGAACAGTAAAATCACTGTCAGATGCTTTGCTATATAAACTCCCCTGCTTTTGGCCACTAGCTTCTTGTAGTGGATATCTCTTTTTTCACTTTGACCAACTGTATCCTAAATTTTGCACTAGAGAATGGAATCTGCTCTTAGTTAACTCTCTGAAACTGTGTGGAGGTCAGCACCATACTCAGAAAATAGTGTTTTCCCCTTTCATTTCCTCAAACAGAGAAAAGTGAAGAGAGAAATAAAAGAGAAAAAGACAGTTTCATAGACGGCAGACACATCAAACGTGCAATATACCCAACTGAAGCAGGTCAACAGTCAGCAGTACCAAATGCCTAGGCTTCAATTACAGCTCATGATAGATGCTTTTAGAGATACAAAACCTAAATATATATTGAATTACAGGGCAAGCTATAACAATAAATGCCACCTCCGTTTCAGATGATAAGCACTTGACCTGTACACCTCCGAAGTTTGGCAGCACTTAAGCATTTTTAATTCTACCTGTGACTTCTGATAGCATTGGTTCCTTTTACAAGAATCTAGGCAAAATATGAGTCAGGAAGGCAGAACACCTTCATGAGGAAAAGCCTGAGCAGCAGTTACAGATAAACTCTAAGCTGTGCTGCTGCTGACAGTTCAGCTATCAAGTGCATCTTTGCTCAGTGGACATAGTCAACAGTGATAACTTTAAAGTAAACTCTCCTAGACAGGTTCTTGAAAATTTACCCTCTGTGAAGACAGAAGAATTACTTCTCAAAGCCCTCAACAATTTATTCAACACTGCCATAATCCTTTTAAAGGCACACAAAAAAAGATCTGAAACCCACCGGCTAGAAGACAATGATGGATCAGAGACTGCATGAACCATATCCGTAGACAATGCATCCAAAACACTAGTTAGAAACTCATTCTTCTTGGCCCCAGGACAACCTAGAAAACCAGATTATTTTTATTTCTTGTTTCCTCTTTTTACAACATTTAAATTCCAACAATTGCTCAAATGCTGAGATAGATGCTACTCCCTGTAAAAAAAAAAAATCCCATAAAATTTTGGACATGTTAATAACATAATTCAAAGACAAGCATCTACATTCAGGTACATATTTGTAACAGAGCAGCAACAGAAAAACATTGTTTTGAACTCAAGCAAGTGGGAGTCTGGTTTGCATACCTTGGGTTCCTTTCTTTGAATTTTGGCTATTATTTTTCCATGGGTGTCACATTTTGAAAAGCAAAGCTTTGAAACAACTGAACTTTGTACATGACACAGACTGTTTGAAACATGGACTAGAAACCCCTAGCACAATGCCTTTTTCATATTGCCACTTTTGCTCCTCTGACCTACCGTTGGCTTTCTCAGTACACAAATCTCTCAGTGCATTGACTTCCTCCTCTGTAAAATGACAGTCAACTCCCTGCCTCTTTCATTTTTCTCTTGGACAGGGGTAACTCCCACTACAAGGCACCTAGCTCAATTTGATGCTGTTAGTTGGTACTCTGGTTCACACCGTGGGATCCTACGGTGTTGCTAGATCATCCTCATAGTTACATTCCCTATGTCATGAAGCTCTTCTCTAAAAGAAACTGACATCACATTTCAGACACATAATATGTCAGATGAATATATACTTAAAGATACATTCTTAGAGCAGTACGCCTGGAGCAGATAAATTCATCTGACAAGTGCATAGATGTTGCATGGATGTTGGTGTATTGCTTATACAATACACCTGCTTCCTCTTTCCTAGAGCCCTAGGCCAAACACTAAGTCTTCCCCTAGTCCTGTAATAGTTGAGTTAAACTCTAGAATGATCCATGAGCAGTGACATAGAGACAAGAAGGTTGAAGATGGAGCCCACGGCAGGACTTTTACAGACAAATCTGCTTACCTGCTGTTCTGATCTTAAGTGGAAATGGGAAACACTCTGAGGTGGTGTGGAAAAGGAAGATTAGTCAATCAGTAGAAATTGTTATTTCATCACACTTCTCAGTGACCTCTGGAGCAGGCAGTAGGATTATCTGAGCCTGAAAAGCCTCATCTTGCCCAGCAAATTATTTTTAATCCATCCCATGTTGATCCAAGGAAATGAACCTGTGTTATATTAGCCCATAGCTGTGTTGCAGTAAGAACAGGTCAGCTATTTTCTGTAGTAGCAGCACCCACTACATGTTATTGTCTAACACAGTCATGAAGTCCTGAGTTCCCTGCCTCTTCTGTTTTTGCCTTCGGCACCAGGGACATTTTATTCCAATAACCATAAAAGTCACATAACAAGAATTCACTGAAGCAACTTTCACTGCACTAAGAATATACACCTGAAACCAGTTGTCACCCTCCTAGATATGCTCCTCTTCCCTTACTCTTTAACAATTTTTTTCCTGTTACAACTAGGAAAAAAGAAAAAAAAAGAAAAAACCCCAACCTAACAGTTATGACTAATCCTAAATTTCTAAATTTGAGCTCAGTAAGACAAGCACTTGAGCTTTCTCTGTAAGACAGAAATTAGAAGGGTGGCAAGAAATTAACAGGGAGGAACAGAAGACTATACCAACAAGTTCCTGGCAGCATTCAGTGCATACATTTAAAAGTATATTCTCTAGAGCAAAGAGCTTGCTGGTAAGTAAGGCTCAGAGACCGTGACCATGTAAATAAAGTGTGCTATGTGATTTAGATGAAGGCATGTAACTTTGCAAGTCACAAAAGCACATTTGCCCAGAGGTGAGGAGGCAGAGCCCAAGCAGTTCCCACACAGAAGGCACATCCAGCCATGTTAGCATGACAACCTGCCTGAACCAATGCTCAATGATCTCTGTGCAATCTACTGAGCTCAGAACTATGTCCTGCTAGCGAGGATACCTGGCCTGTGGACCAGAGCTGGTGTTCTTCAAAGGACAAGCAGAGAGGTTTGTCTGAGGGTCTCCATGAAGACCTATCTTGAATGATACAGGCTTTGCCCATTTTGTGCTGGAGTTATGTTCTTGTCATCAGGGAGAAGCCTGGAACCTGCTCCAAACTTAATACATGGCTTGTGGAAAATGCAGACCATAATACCTCGGCCTATAACAATGCAGGGCAATGTGGAGACAAGACAATTTTACCTTTTCCCTTTCCCTGTCCTTTTTTGGATAGATGATAATAATATCTAATTTAATTTAGGAGCTCCACCTGAATTTTTCATGTTAGTTATGAGAGTATTCCTGAAACATCTGGAAGAAACTAAACTAGTATGCTTTAGGTAGTTTCCACTGCTGTCCAAGGAGCTGCTGAGTATGCATATGCAACAGATGTAGAGATCAAAATCATAACTCAGCTTGCTATTTATGAGATACAGCTAGGCAGGGGAAAGTATCAACTTCTAAATTCACAAGAAATCATGGGGGGAAAAAATCCATAGTTTAAAGCCTGTCTCTGACAATTTTGCCTAAGATTAAGAAAGGTTTCTAAATGTGTATTGCATAAAGCTGCAATAGCAGCTGACAGCAATAGAAGTCTTCTCATAGAGAAGAAATTTCACTGTTAAAACAAACACAATCAGCTGCTGTGAAACATTCTAAATTATAACTCTGCTACTTAACGTAAAATGACACTCCACAATAATCCTCACTCGTTAAACACAGAGAAAATATTCAGTTTCTCCCAATTACAATTTTTTTGCTGATGTGTGGGCAATCACACAGCAATTTACTTCACAGTGAAATCTCTGTTCTTTACAGGTGTTATTAACTCAGAATAATTCTCTGGAGGCTTCACACTGAGCCTTAATTTTCAACAAACTTGCAGATGAAATGGCAGGACTGGGGGACCTTTATCTTGATTGTAATGAATAACTCACTCTTACTGGACAAAATACAGAAAAGGAAAGACTAGTCTCTTATGGGAGCCTTATGCTTCTCACTATGGTTTATGTGCTTGTTTCTTCTTCTGCAGCTGCTTGTCGTGTGCTGATTTGACAGCTTACATAAACAATAATTTGTTGTTAAAGGGCTGAAGTTGAAACCACGTGGAATTAACCTACAGGTTCAGAGATATAACATAGAGTTGAGTGTTTTAAGGATAGTTTTATCCAGAGTAAACCTTAGACCAACAAATACATACCACAAATGGCAGGAATATACAAACACTTCATTTCAGCTATAATTTAAAGGTCATCAAAGAATGGTCATTATACATGGTATACCTCACATATATATATGTGCCTCTCTATAAATATATTTTTAGCACTGACAATTGATTTTTGGAGTTAAATCTGTGGGGCAATTGTCTATAAGCCTTCCAAAATATTCACCAAATTACCTTGGAGCTCACTGCTTGGTTGAAAATAATCTATTGCTGTCAATCTTGTAAGATAATCTTTTACAGCACATCTGAAGTCATGGCTAGAAAAATATTTAGTTCATTTCTGTAAAAACGTGAAATAATAGATAAGACTAATCACTTTAAAAGGGCATTTACATTAATCTTCTTACAAGAGAGGAAACTATCTTGAATCAGTCACTCAAGTAATTAAAGGCATGACAACTTACAATTGGAACCAATATAAAGCTTCTTTTTTATTCCATATTTGTTAATCTGAATATCAGGCTTAGCAGTGCACTCAAATACAATGGCCACTGAAATACCTCTGAAGATTGTAAATTCTGATCCACCCCAAACCAGAATGATCAGAACTATTTATGTTTCTTTTGCAGGTTTGTCTTCACTGAAATATAGTGGTATACAGGAGAAAAGAATTTAACAAAGTTTGTCAGTGCTACTGGTTATCCTGCAAGAACAGACAATACAAGGAAAATATTTTTTCTTTTATTCTATACCCATATACATGTACAGTTCATTAGTTAGTTCATTAGTTTATTTCTGCTGTGGTATATAAATCACAAGCTTGTCTTTTTCTAGATATGCTGAGGGCTCTCCTCATGTTTTGGAGGACTACCTAAGCTCTTCTTCAGCCCCATTCCACAAAAAAAAGCCCATCAAAAGATGAGCTTGGGAACTGAAAATTCTGCTGGAGACTAAAAATCATGGCCTCAACAGGCAGTGCTTTTATGGTTCATTACAGTTTTTCCCTCACTGCACATCCTGGTGACCTCTCACAAACAATAATTATCTACCTTTTAGTCTCTATCTTAGAGGAGTTGAGGAAACTATCATCTCTCCTTGTTAACAACCCTCAGGTATTACTCCATTTTTTCTTTTATTTTTTCTCTCAAATATTCTTACCAGTTAAAATAATTAAGTTCAGCTCAGAGCCAAATTCTTATTTATCTGTGTTTACCCAAATTTCAGAAATAAGAAAGTAGAACAGAAGAGATATTTATTGAAGGAGAGCTACAGGTCCTTTGCTTTGTAGTCCCAAATCTCTACGTCTTACAGTGAAGAAGTATTATTTCTGCAGAAGGGCAGGAGGCAGACTTTAGTTCTCCACATATATTGAACTTTGGTTTTGTTACCATTTTTAATAATCTTTCTGTTCTAACTTCAGGGAGGAAAAAAACAAAAGAGTTAACAAAGGATGCTCTCTCAAGGCCCTACCCTTAAATCCCAGCATTCCTATCACACCAAAGTGGGATCTGTTGAACTTGAGCCTGCTGAAATGAGATGTCTCACCCATAACAGTTATTTAAGCTCAGTATAAAGGAACCCATTCAGACGGCATTCAGCCCAACTACCTTAGACTTTTTCTTAGACCAGGATAGGATCTCACTTTAAATGTATCTTTTCTTCCCCATTAACTACTGAGGAAGCCTGGACAGCTAACTTACACTCCCAGGTGGTGTAAAACTGCTTGTGAAGAATTCTGTACGTATGTTTTGTAAATTCATTTAGGCTCAAACCACTCTGTTATTCTTTGGGTTAATGTGGTAGAAAGAAGGGATAATGTTCATAGCAGAAACACATATGATCCTGTATGCAATTTTCACAGGCAACTCAG